AGGAATGCTTAGTCTACTCATAGCTAAGCCCTGACCCTTTTTTAGGTCTCTTGAGCAGTAAGACCAAGCCAGTGGCCTCAGTGAGTGGGCAGTCATCTGGATGCTGTATCACCCCGACAGGGTATCGAGCTCAACGTGGGGGGACCAGCGCAGCACAGCCACTCAACCTTAGCCAGGTAAGCGCTAGGGTCTGCTGCCTTCTGCTTGGGGCCCTCCCTGTTGTTACTCTCTGGAGAACTCTGCTTCTGGCTGGACTGCTGAATAAAGCCAAATGAAGCCCCTTTGTGTCAAACAATTTGGTGTTCTGTGGCCTGCGTCGTGTCTGCATGTGCTCTATCTCTTCATTTGCTCTGCATGTTCTAGATGTGCATTCCAGGTTTTCCACTAGACCTCCTTAATCTATCCTGGGAGATTAGAGAAATGGGTGCTATTTAGAAAGATTCTAGAGTGGCCCAGCTGTGGTAGTTGGCATTGGCAGATGCTGCTACTTGACAAGCTGACGCACATGGAAGGCCCAATTTTGATTCCCAGCCCCATTAAAAGCTGGGCATAGTGGTGGGTACTTGTAGTCCCAGCTACTCAGGATGCTGAGGCAGGAGGATCATGACATACAGGTCCCTGTCTCAGGGGGAAAAAAAATAGCTTAGGATGCTAGCCATGCCTAGTTTTGTGCTACCACGTGCTCTGAGACCAGATTCTCTTCTTTTATCTCCCAGGCCATAACCTGAGCTTCACACTGTTTACATGAGTCAAAAGACAGTGAAGAGCTTTTTGGCCACTAATCAACTGGTTCTAGTCCTTCCTCTCGAGAATTTTGGATTTTGGGCTCCCCTCACCTCCTGCCATCTGATCCTTGATGGAGTTACCTTATTCTATTTGTGTTGACTCTTTCCTCAGCTGACATTTTGGTACTTGTATGATGTCTACCAGTAGTGACCCAGTGTCAGTATGAGGGTATAACTGTGAGAACAGGCAAGTGCGAATGTAAGTTCGAGTTCAGTGTATGTATTTTAGGCTCCATATTTGAAGAGGGATATGAAGGATTTAGGGTAGAACAGAAGAAAGCAATGGCAAGGAAGAAAGGTTAGGAAAATTCAAATTCACTGACACCAGAATAGGGTGAGTTGAGTTAATAGTTATTAACTCATAGGAATTGGCAACCCCATAAATTCTTAATTCTCCCCCTTTGTCATATGTAAGAGCACACTGCTGCTCTCTGAGCTGGGTTAGCATCTATTCTGCCAAGAGACAGAAGGATGGATAATTGACTTCTCACAGCATTCATTACTGGTCTGGGAGATTCTGTGTCAGAGCAACTGAGAACATTACAAAGTCAGAACCTTAACTTTTAACTTGGCTTTTGGTGCCCCGAACCAGTGACCTCAAGATTCCTCACTCCCTTCTTCCTCCTTCCAGAACCAGCAGTCATCGTCAGCTCCAACCTCGCAGGAGAGAAGCAGCAACCCTGCCCCTCGCAGGCAGCAAGCGTTTGTGGCCCCGCTATCCCAAGCCCCCTACGCCTTTCAGCATGGCAGCCCACTACACTCGACGGGTCACCCTCACCTGGCCCCAGCCCCTGCTCACCTGCCAAGCCAGCCTCACCTGTATACGTATGCTGCCCCCACCTCTGCTGCTGCATTGGGCTCCACCAGCTCCATTGCTCATCTTTTCTCCCCCCAGGGCTCCTCAAGGCATGCCGCAGCCTATGCCACCCACCCTAGCACTCTGGTGCACCAAGTCCCTGTCAGTGTTGGGCCTAGCCTCCTTACTTCTGCCAGTGTGGCCCCTGCTCAGTACCAACACCAGTTTGCCACTCAGTCCTACATTGGGTCTTCTCGAGGCTCAACAATTTACACTGGATACCCGCTGAGTCCTACCAAGATCAGCCAGTATTCCTACTTGTAGTTGGTGAGCATGAGAGAGGAGAGTCATGGCCGCCCACACCTGGCCCTGAGTTCATAAATAATGGACTTTGGTGAGCTCCTCCCTTACTTTCTTGAAACTCCTTAGCCAGCAGTTTGTTCTGCAGGGGCCCACTGAAGCAGAAGGTTTTTCTCTGGGGAACCTGTCTCAGTGTTGACTGCATTGTTGTAGTCTCCCAAAGTTTGCCCTATTTTTTAATTCTTTATTTTTATGGCAGCATTTTTGGTATTTGGAAGAGTTCAGATGCCCATCTTCTGCAGTTACTAAGGAAGAGAGATCGTACTGAAGTTACCCTTCCAAAAATATTTTCTCTCTCTGACTTGGTCTCTATAAATGCTTTTAAAAACAAGTGAAGCCCCTCTTTATTTAACTTTGTTTTATTGTGATTGCTGGTCAGAGGAGAAATGCTGATAGAAGGACTTGAAATCTGGTAACAGGTGTGAGAAACATTACTATTTTTTGTTTAAAATGCTGAGACTTATTTGCTTATTTTATTTTAAAAGCGGCTTACCCTAATTGATATTTTACTATTAGGCATTTTTTCCTCAGAACTTTTTTTCTTTGTGGATCATTTGAACTTATAATGTTTTAGTTTTGACTTCATGTTGCATTATACTTAATAAGCAATTGTTATTTTTGCAAAATTGGTTACAGATTACTGTGTTACTGTTGGGATTCTCTCAGTTGCTCCTGTGCTTATTACAAAGCGTTGTTAAAAAGACAGCTCACCTTTTGCTGGTAACTTAGCATGAGAATCCATACCTATGTTGAAAGCACCAAGTATTCTTTTTAAATGAAGCACCATGAATTCTTTTAAAAGTCCTTCTCTCTCTGATTCAGCTTAAATTTTATTATTGAAAAAGCCATTTAGGTGGTTGTTACTATATGGTGGTGGTTGTTTTAGTATATGCAAAATCTCTTTCTATTATGAGATAATGGCATTGATGAGCTTTGGCTAAAGATTAGTATGAATTTCAGTAATACACCTCTGTATTTTTTTCATCTCTCCCTTCTGTTTTATGTGATTTCTTTGGGGAGAAAGCTAAAGGATCTGAAACCAGATAAGAACGTTGTGTATAGCTTTTATACTTTACAGTAGCTTCCTTTGTATGCCAGCAGCAAATTGAATGCTCTCTTATTAAGACTTATATAATAAGTGCATGTAGGAACTGCAAAAAATATTTTAAAAATTTATTACTGAATTTAAAAATATTTTAGAAGTTTTGTAATGGTGGTGTTTTAATATTTTGCATAATTAAATATGTACATACTGATTAGAAAAATATAACAAGCAATTTTTCCTGCTAACCCAAAATGTTATTTGTAATCAAATGTGTAGTGGTTACACTTGAATTGTGTATTTAGTGTGTATCTGATCCTCCAGTGTTACCCGGAGATGAAATTGATATCTCCATTGTATTTAAACCAAAATGAACTGATACTTGTTGGAATGTATGTGAACTAATTGCGATTATATTAGAGCATATTACTGTAGTGCTGAATGAGCAGGGGCATTGCCTGCAAGGAGAGGAGACCTTTTGAATTGTTTTGCACAGGTGTGTCTGGTGAGGAGTTGTTCAGTGTGTGTCTCTCCCCTCCCTTCCTCCCTCCTTCCCTTATTGTAGTGCCTTATATGATAATGTAGTGGTTTAATAGAGTTTACAGTGAGCTTGCCTTAGGATGGACCAGCAAGCCCCAGTGGACCCGAAGCTGTTCACTGGGATTTATCAGAACAGGATTAGTAGCTGTGTTGTGTAAATGCATTGTTCTCAGTTTCCCTGCCAACATTGAAAAGAAAAACAGCAGCTTTTCTCCTTTACTGCCACCTCTACCCCTTTCCATTTTGGACTCAGCTGAGTTCTCACAGAAGCATTTTCCCCATGTGGCTCTCTCACTGTGCATTGCTACCTTGCTTCTGTGAGAATTCAGGAAGCAGGTGAGAGGTGTCAAGCCAATATTAAATATGCTTTTTCTTCTTCTTCTTTTTTTTTTAAAGTATGTGCAATCACTTTTAGAATATTTTTTCCACTTTTCCCATGTGTCAGTCCTTCCTGCAAATAGTCAACATTCCTAGTAAAATTTTACTTTTTGAAAAATAAAAAGAATAATAACATGTATTTATACCAAAGAGCCTGTTGTATTGCTTACCATGTCCCCATGCTATGAAGAGGTGTTCTGTGGTGCCACTAGTGACAAGGAATCACAGAAAGATTTCTTAGCCAGTGGAGAATATTAAAAAGGAACCAAAGCCCATTGATTCCTTAGGGCTTTTGAGCTTTCCTTTTAAAAACTTGTATATTCTTGGGGCCCTTCAAGCTGTGAATTGTCCTTGTACTCTCAGCTCCTACATGGATCTGGGTCAAGTAGAAGGTATTGAGGATAGGGATATTCCTGCCCATAAAGGATTTAGGGGAAGAAGGTTAACCCTAAGCTGTGGATATGTTCCATCTGAACTGAAGATTATATATTTGAGGGATAATTCTAGGACTGGTTCTGTTTAAAGATGGTGTCAAGGAGGTGCAGGATGGAGATGGGAGATTTCATGGAGCCTGGTCAGCAAACTTTGTACCAGGTTGAACACTGAGGACCTGTCAAAGTATTTGGAGTTTCTTTATTGTAAGGAGTAAGGGCTTCCAAGATGGGACACGTAATCAGTACAGCCTATCCTGTTTTCTGTATTGTTTTAATCATTATATTGAGTTTTGTTTTCAGCACTATATTGGTCAAGACAGTTTGTATAGTTTCTGTCATAGTTACATAGTTTTCTGGTCAGTGTGTGTGATCTTTGTGTCTCCTTATTGCCAAGCACATTCTGATTTTCTTGTTCAAATGCAGGTCTAATTTCTAAAGGAAACATTGTTTTTGTTCCTTATCTTTCCTCTACAGAGGGAAAGATGTGTTTTTGTAAGAAATGAGATGCAGGAAAAAAACCCCACCCCTGGTCCCCAGTGTAATAAGTAGATGTCATTTAAGACAGGAGTCTTAACTCCATTGACAAAAATAATACCTTAATCACCTGACTAGCAGCAGTGTGTAGTTTTTAAACTTTAGAGATTTCCAGTCTTAGTTTGCAAATTGGCATTTCAGATTTACCAAGATTTATATCCACCGGTGTCCGCTGAGTTTGTATATGCTCGACGTGGCTTTAGATTCTGTCCCTGGGACTTAACATGCCTGCCCTGACAAGCTGGGGGAAGCCCCATGAATTTAGTGAGCAGCTGGCCTGGGTCACTGTGGCCTGACCTCAAACCAGCTTATGGCTTTAAGTCCTCTCTCAGAACTTGCGTGGATTTCTAGCTTCTCCCTTTTTGGGTGAGTGAGGAAGAGGGGAAGAGTTAAGTATAGCCACTAGGCTCATAGGGACACTTGATCAGTCATCCCAGAGTCTTTAATAGCTCCCAAGAGGTGATTCTACTCTCAGAACTCAGCTGAAATACCAACCAAGGAATAAGAACTCCATTCCCAACAGTTCTGGCCATTCTGAGCCTGCTTTTGTGATTGCTCGTCTAGGCAAGCACAGTAATGTGTGTTTATTCAGCATTATTACACAAAAATCCACTAGTTAAGATGGTTTGTTTTAGGGTAGGAAATGAATTTGCCTCTCAGTGACAGGAATGGCCCGAGCCTGCTTCCTATTTTGATTTTTTAAAAACTGATGGATGGTGCAGCATGTCTACATGGTTGTTTGTTGCTAAACTTTATATAATGTGTGGTTTCAATTCAGCTTGAAAAATAATCTCACTACATGTAGCAGTACATTATATGTACATTATATGTAATGTTAGTATTTCTGCTTTGAATCCTTGATATTGCAATGGAATTCCTACTTTATTAAATGTATTTGATATGCTAGTTATTGTGTGCGATCTAAACTTTTTTTTTGCTTTCTCCCTTTTCTGATTGTGCGCTTCCTTTTACAACATGCCTCTAGAAACAGTTTCTGAGAATTACTGAGCTATGTTTGTAATGCAGATGTACTTAGGGAGTATGTAAAATAATCATTTTAACAAAAGAAATAGATATTTAAAATTTAATACTAACTACGGGAAAAGGGTCCATTGTGTAAAACATAGTATATCTTTGGATTCAATGTTTGTCTTTGGTTTTACAAAGTAGCTTGTATTTTCAGTATTTTCTACATAATATGGTAAAATGTAGAGCAATTGCAATGCATCAATAAAATGGGTAAATTTTCTGATTCGTGTGGCTGTTTTTGGCTTCTGTTATAGGGGGGCAAAGAGAATCAACAAATACCATCTTTGGAGTGGCTTAAACACATTGCATAGAGCATTAAAGGGATTTCATCCTTCAGACAAATCTCTTAGGAACTGAGTAAGGTTTGTTAGCAAATACTTCCCAAGAATGTTGTGTCCAGGTCTCTTACTGTATATTGTCCAGATCTGACTTTTTTTTTTTTTTGGAGAGGTTTTTGCTATAGGGCGCATGCGCTCGCCAGAAAGGGAAAGATAGACAGAAAGCGAGAAATCACCCCCCAGGGGGTGTGGCCACGCCGTAATCCCTTCTCCTTCATTCTCCTCTCTGGATCTTGGCCACACATGCACCCGCACCCGGCATGAGTTCAAGCCCCATGCCCCCCACTCCTGGCAAGATTAAAAGCCACTGGGTCCGGGAAATGAACTGCGGTCGACTACATGGGAGACCAGTGACATAGCCATGACACTAACTGTTGGTCCCCAGATCTAACCTTTTGAAAGAGGTAGAAAACTTCTGATCAGTCTAGTTAAACTTGTTTCCTAGCATGTTTCATCTAAGTACCAGAATGAAAATAAGAGCCATCACAGGAAGATGCTCTCTTTCCCCCTCCTTTCAGGCTGCACTATTAAAGGTGTGTTTTTTTCTAGAGAAGGAGCAACTCTGATCAGATTTTTCTTGATTCTACAGTGAATAATAATTCTGATAAAGAAATAGAAGCCAGCCCCAGAGAACAGCAGTTAAACACAGTTAGGTCCCACAAGATTGACCATGATTTGAATTAGATCTCGAATCCTGGTCCCAGTGGCTTGAAAAGTATGCTGGGCACATGTGCATGTGTGCCCCAAATCCTGATGAGATGAAGAAATTGAGGAGAAGGGATTATGACATGACCGTGTCCCATTGGGGCAGGGTGGATTGCTTTCTCCCTGTCTCTTTCTGGTGATTGCATGCACCCTCTGGCATTTAAAAAAGAGAGAGAGAGAGAGAGAGAAGGGGCCAACAGGTGACATGGTATTAGGGCACTGGGTCACACATGGCCAACTCTGTGGTTCAAGTCCCAGACCTGGTGACATGAAAAGCACACCACGAGTATGCACATGAATGCCCAGGATCCTGAGATGAAAATGGTGGAGAGGGGATTGCAGCGTGGCCATTCACCCTGAGGGGTGATTTCTCACTTTCCCTGTCTCTGCAGCAAGCACATATACCCTAAGGCAAAAATCGTGAAAAAGAAAAAGAAAAAAATGAAATAGGATTTGTCTAGATCAATCACTGCAGGTCTCTGAATAAATGCTGTGTTTTGATTTGTTTTAAGTGTTCAGGCCAAGTTTATCCAAGAGTGACCATTAATTCATTTTGGGCTCCCACAGTCTTAGTTGGGATATAGAAATGAGAAATACCCTCTTGTATCATAAGCAAGAAAAATGATCAATAGTCCATTCTCTTCCAGTAATAGGGAGGTCAGAATACATTTATAGGTTGAGTATCCATTACTCATAGTGCTTGGGACCAGAAGGGTTTTGGGATTTACAATTTTCTTTTGGGAGGGGGAACCAGCAGTTAGCTGAATGGCTATGTCGCTGGACTCCCATGTAGTCAACCACGGTTCGCGTCTCAGACCCAGTGGCTTAAAACTCACACCGGGTTCAAAAACCTCAAAAAAAAAAAAAAAGATTAAAAAAAAATTTTTAGGATATTTGCATGTACATAATGAGATACCTGAGGAGGAATATAGGACCCAAGTGTAAACACAGTTCATTTGTGTTTCGTTTCTTTTCTTTTTCTTTTTCTTTTTTTTTTTTTTTGAGAGATTTTTGCTATAGGGCGTGTGCGCTCGCCAGACAGACAGAAAGTGAGAAATCACCCTCCAGGGGGGATGGCCACACCGCAATCCCTTCTCCTCCATTCTCCTCTCGGAATCTTGGGCACGCACACACACACGAGCCCGGCGTGAGTTTTAAGCCACCGGGTCTGGGACGCGAACCATGGTCAACTATGTGGGAGCCCAGCGATATAGCCGTTACGCTAACTGCTGGTCCCCATTTGTGTTTCATATACACCTTATAGTCAGAAGGTAATTTCATACAATATTTTTACGTTGTGTTTTGACTGCAGACTGTCACATGAGATCAGATAAGGAATTTTCTATTTGTGGTATGTCAGTGCTCAAAAAGTTCTGTATTTCAGATTAGGTATGTTTGACATATATTATGATTTAGACTGCAATGTATATATTTTTCAGATTTTGTTTTCCTTAAATAAATGAACATAAATTAGTTTGAACTCACCAAACACCCCCAGATTTGGTAAGAGAGTATACCTGGCTGCTTTCAGGCAGAATTTTCACCTCTGGATACTCCAGAGTTAGTTTACTAACTTCTCTGTGACCTGTTTTGTTGTTTGTTGTTGTTTTCTTTTTTCTTTCTTCCCTCCCCCCCCCTTTCTTTCTTAAGGCTTTTACCTGTGCTTGCCAGAGAGACAGAGACAGCGAGAGGGAAATGAGAAGCCATCCTGCAATCCCTTCTCCTTCATTCTCCTGGGATTCTGGGCACACAATGGATATGCACCCAGCGTGAGTTTCAAGCCCAGGTCTGGGACTCAACTGTGTTTGACCATGTCGGGCAAGTCCAGCTACTTAACCATCACGCCACTTGCTGGCCCGTTTGTTGTTTTTAATCTCAGTTATATTTTCTTTCTTGGGCTACGTCAGAGAAAGATTGGCATAGCTCCCTAAAGTAACTGGGTAGTCTGTGTGGAAATCTGCATTTTAGTAATGAAAACCCCTATAAATTCAATCTACTTGGCCTGCTTAATGGAAAATTTTCCACATGGCATGGTGAAGTGTAAGCCTTGGTTTCTCTATTAATCATAAGGTGATACCAAATGCTTAGCACAAGGTGGCGCCAAAGAGCTGTAGAAGTTAAACTTGTCCATTTTGGTTCCCCCCCCCCCCCCCCTAGCTTCCACTGAACAAGGCGGAAAAACAAATCCATTGTATTATTGCTGGGAGAAGGACGGGTTCATGGATGGTGTCACTTAAATTAGCATTGAAATCACTCTCCTAAAACAGAAGTAAGAGTTTGCTGAGCTTCCTTTAAGGGCTCTGCCTCCTGCAGCTAGCTCCTTTCCCTGGGGGACCTCCCAGAAGGCTGCTGCCTTGAGGTTTCCACTTCTTTTCCCTCTTGGGGAGCCTACAGTCTAGGCGGGAAGTGGTTAAAGCTTCTGGCTGCTGTGCAATAGGGCCATCTGTGTTTGATCAATCCAGGCGGAAAGGAGGGAGTGGAGGCTGTAAAGAGACTGTGAAAGCATTCCAGAGTAGTGAGAGAGACCAGGGAGCAGAAGGAAAGGAGGCCCCACCCCCACCCCGCCTCCAAGGCCAACCGTGGGCTCAAGGGGAAGAGGCCGGCTGCACACTCGTCTACTCTGGCCCCACTTTCCAGGCTGCCATGGGGCCCAGCACTCCTGTCCTCATCTTGTTCCTTTTGTCATGGCTGGGACACCTTCAAGGACAGCAGCACCACCTTGTGGAGTACATGGAACGCCGACTAGCTGCCTTAGAGGTGAGGGACTCCTTTCTCTTCTTGCCTAGCCTATAAGGATTATACATTTTCTATTGGTTCACCCAGTTTGTCGGGGATCTGGGGATGACAAAATAGTGCTCTGTAAAAACTCACAGAAAACTCAGTATTTTAATAAGGATCCTTAAGATTGCAAGTCCTCCTCTTTGCTACATAGAGCAATTGTAAACTTTGTGTTTTGCCTCTGGGATTAACTGGGTCAAGGGGGTGGGTGGAAATGAGAGCCAGGATTGTGGGATTGCATCTCCTGAGAAGGTGGTGACTCCATTAAATTTGGAGGTACCCAGAGAATTTGCAGCGTCCTGCCTTTTTTTTTTTTTTGGAGAGGTTTTTGCTGTAGGGTGCGTGCGCTCGCCAGAAAGAGACAGAA